ATGTACCACCAGCAACTAGTGGGGTTTCTTGGTAGGCGATGTTCCTAGAATATAGTTGACATATCAGGAGCTGTTCTCCGTCGTCTTTGGTGTTAATTGTTCATCCAAAATTCAACACATCGAACATATCAAATGCTTTACCTTTACTTGTAAAACTAAAACTTAGATTGTTGAGGTGTTACTTGTTACATTATCTAGATGCAAATCTGTCAAATTCTTGGCTTAGTGCGATACAATCTCTAACTCACTTGAGGTACCTTGAGATTTATGTCAAGAAAAATTAATTATCGTGGATATCTCACATGCTTTCTTCAAATTCTAGTGACTCATTCATCTTATTCTCTAAGGACGTCGCTTGCAGCTATTGGAAAATGACGCACATAAAATTTGGAAGTTACAATGCTGGCATAATAAGTTCAATAATATTCTTCGCATGATAAGTTTCATTTATTTTGTTTGTCATTGTGGCCATAAGAAAATTTTGTATTCATTAATTAATTAAGTAGTAATATTATTTACTTAAAATCTAATTTATTTTAAAATTTAACTGTGTAATTACATTCGTCCAACCAAACAGGACAAAGGGAATTACACTGTAATTACACTGTGGCAAACAAACAGGTCAGCGTAATTACTAGGCTAGTAATTACTACCCTAGTAATTACACCAATTCCAATTACCTGATGGCTTTCCAAACAGACCCTTAGTTATTATAGTTGATTTATTGGATCAATAATGTTTTGTCAAATGTATATTTGAAAGTTTTTAATACTTTCTTTGTCCTAATTTATAGGTCATTCCCCAAAATTGTCATTTTCCTATAACTAAAAATAATCTAATTTTAATTGTTTTTATTTTATTCTTAATAGAATCGCTTATTGCTACGCAAATGTCAATGTGTCTTTTAGATCAAAATTATTTATTTTTTCTTTTTAAACTTTGTGTCGAGTCATCTGATGTTATCGTAACATAAATTGAGATAGAAAAAGTTATATGTAATTAATAACATTTATTTATAAAAAGAACATAAAACATCTGTTTTTAACTCGTCGTCTTAAAATATTTTAAAATTATATCGTTAGATTATAATTTATTCATTTGATAAAATTATATAAGAATCAAATAAGTTTTAATAGTTTTAAAAAATTATAAGATTTTCATATTCATAAGAAAAATGTACAAAAATCAAAACTCAAATTATATGTCCAAATAAAATCCGAATTGAAATTAGTTTTAAGGGGGTATGAGATAAATATAAAATTTGAATAAAATCATTAAATTCAGACAATCACATAATCGATATTTTAACTCTGCTTGGGATTTTAAAAAACTAAAACTAACCGTTAAAATGATATAGGAGACGTACACTAACAGTACCATCTCCGTCCACTTTTAATTTTCATAGTTTTCTTTTTTTAAACTCAAATTATAAAAATTTTGACTAACATTTTATGATGTATCTTTTCATCATATTGATATGCAAAAGATTTTAATTTATAGTACTTTTTGTATAATTTTTTAATATCTAAATTTTTTATTTAAAATATTAAATTAATGTAATCAAATTTAACTTGAAAAATTAGTTAAATTAAATTTTGAAAAGCATAACTTGATAAATAAAAGTGAACGGATGAAATAAGTAATTATATTTATTTTTACTTTACTAAGAAATGTAAAAAAGTGTTCCCTCGTGAATTGAGCTTATATCGGAGGATAGCGGTCAATAAAGGAGCAGTTCCAAATAATTGCTCCCGCTGAACTCGCTGGGTTTACTCCTTCATCTTACTACTTTTTATATTTTTACAAATAATTTTTATTTTTACTTGTTATAGTTTAATTTGATATATTTATTGAGAAAATAATTATTAATATATGTATTTTATCAAATTATTCCTGTTAAATGATGTTTTGAAAAATAATCTAAAAAAAAGTAATTAATGTTAAAAGTAAAATATGAAATTATTTTTAATCTTAATATGTTATGTCAAAAGTATCAAGTAAAAATAAAAATTTATTTTAGAAATACGTGACAAGTAAAGTAAACGGATGATTATTATTTTTTGTTAAATTTTATTAATACTGTTACTATTACACATAGAAATAAATTACTACCATTTTTGTCCTTTTCTCCAAGTTTCCTTTTTCTTCATTTTCTCTAATTTCATTTCTCTAGAGTCTTGTTCCAATCCAACCAGCTTCTAATTTCCTTTCTCTGTTTTTTGGTTAAGTATGATACGTGTAATCTTGCGATATTTATGGGTCGATTAGAATATGTTTTCGGTCAAAATTAAAATCAAATCAATTTAATTGATTTTAAAATAATTAAAATTAAATTAAATATAATATAATATATATTTATCGGTTTAGTTATTACTGGTTTCAGTTCGATTTGATTCGGTTATTAATTATATACAAATACAAAGCAAATGATTCATTCAAGAGGAAAAAAATACAACAATTCATTCAAAAGGAAAATATTTAGAACGTCCGACAACGTTCTGATCACTGAATTTATTCTAATTAATACTTAAAGTTTTAAAATTCACCACTTTGGCCTAGATAAGGACATTCTTAATTCCACCAAAAACTGTCATAAATATTCATATTAATGAAACCAATAAGATAAATGCTTTCATTTTGGATGATTATGCTTTCACAAATAATTTATAAACAAATTTTGATGAAAACAAATATGAGATATTTATAACTGTTCATAAAAACTAATGTATTGTGTATGTATACTTATATAATATATTATATATATAATTTGTCAGTTCGATTAAGTTATTTCTACGATTTTTTTAACAAAATTGAAACCAAACTAAATATTGCCGACTTTTAAAAATATAAAACCAAATCATATCTAAATAGTTTTTTTTTTCAATTTAAATCACTTTTTATCCCAATCGTGAATCTCATTGTATCACATTTCCTTTCTTCCAAATACACATGAAAATTGTATACGTATTAAATATAAAATATTGCTTTCAGAAAAGTTATTATTTTTTACATGTCAACTTAATAGTTTACTCTTAAAATATAATTTAAACATTAAAGTTATTGATCTTCTGTCTCATGAAAATCAAAGGGATTACATAAATGAATTCGAAGGGAGTACATACAAAGCAGTTAATGAGCATAATCATAAAGTTACTCCCTTTTTACTTGTTACTATATTCATCAAACAATATTTTACACATCATTCCTTTTAACTAATGTTTAGTAATTCATCCGTCCAACAATAATTGTCCACTATATTAAAAATAATTATTCAATCATAGTTGTCCAATTTAAAAAATCAAGAGATAATTTACTTTTTGTACCTGTTTTACCCTTACTATACTCCCTCCATTTCATATTAATTGAATTGTTGAGACATTTTTTATTTGTCAAATTAACTTAAAGAAAAATCCTTTTGGCCAGAATGATATTTTACCTTTTTAAACATTTTTACTTTTTTAACTTTAATACCTTTTAACTAAAAATGGAAAAAAAATCAATTTATTTAAAATAAAATAAAATTATAGTTTTTAAAAATTTATGGCCATTTAGCCATATTATTTATTGTTTCTTAAAGAGTGTGTCAAGTCAATAGTGGATAACTATTATTGGACAGAGAGAGTATTAAGCGTTGCAAAATAATCTGAAGAATAAGCATTTATTATTAAGGATACAATTTAAAAAATTAATTATCTTTTTTTAATATGTGAAAAATGATAAATAAAAATAAAAATCAAATAAATGGCAACTAAAAATGAAGGGAGGAAGTAATTAATCTGTTTTAGAGAAGAGGCATACTAATCCTATAATGAAAGAGACAAAATAGTGTTCAGAAACAGTAATCTTGCTTCTCGTGAACTTTACACTGATTTCTAGGGAACCATTCACTATTCAGTCTTGTGTTGTGTTGTGTTCTTCTTGCCATGCAACCAAAGCCTAGCTACGCTTTGGGAATGACATTTCATGTTTTCTTGGGTCCCCACCATCAAAATTCAAATCTCTCTTTTTTTTGTTTTTTGTTTTTTTGAATGTCAAATGCATTTGAATCTCTATATTTCATTTAACAAACTTTATTATTGTAATACTTAATAATTATCGAGACAAAGCAACATTATTATAAAGAGATTTGACGGTATACGACTGCTGATAATGAGTAAGAGTAGTAAATAGCCCGTGAGTACAACTTTTGTAGAAGAGACTCATGTGAGCGTAGTGTCAAGTAATTAAAGACCCCGCATGCAATCATTAACTCTAGTTGGTTGCTTTTTCTGATTACCAATTCAATGGTATAAATAATGTTGGTAAATATGGCAGTGCGAATCGACAGGCTGATTAAAAAATTTTAGTACTTTTTTGTTTTGTTGAATTTTAGATAAATGATTTATATCCATTAGTTTTTTTTATATAAATATAAAATTTGAATCAAAATTACTAAATTTTACCAAATCTGTAACTATAAATTATAATAGTGAACCCGCCTCGAGGCTCGATTGAGATGAGAGCCTAAGTCCAAGTTTGTCACATAGCTTGCACATAACCTGTTAATTTTTGTTAAATGAAAATGTTAGTTACACTTTAAAAAAGACACTGCTCAAATGGGGTTCGTCTCGTTAAGAGTAACCATATCTGTCACTACATTAAAGACTCTTCCTTGAGAGAATAATATGAAAGTCTCCTCATGAATTATAATATAGTAAGTCACAATGCAATTTCAAATGTGCAAATATTGGGACCTTAATAATGTTTGTTTTTTACAAAAAACTGAAACAAAAGAAACACCTAATGTTCTTTCTTTTGTCCAATCTCACTTGACTTTGGTACTTTACTTCCTGTTTTATTTCTTTGGACATTGGATGAGGGGAACAGAAAATGGATTGCCGTTAGAACACTAGAATCTTAAGACAAAAGGATGAAATATCACTACAACTTAACAGACATTGATACATCATCAAGAACTAATGATAAGAACGTCAAGCTTGTGTAAAAAATGGACTCGATTAAAACCTTTTTTCCCCAACATTTTATTTTGAATTTACCAACTGTAAAACTGTATAGTTTTGACAGGGTACATGACTATGTATGATATCAAATGAAGGAATAACTGAACTACATCTCCAGTTAAGTTAGTGTGCCTATTCCTAACTGTTATCTTTGACGTCCATGGTTTCAGGCAAACTAAACTGCTGCCTGGCCGTGGCTATTACCATAAACAACAATTGATTATACATTGCATCCCTCTCCCATTTCATTTGTGGTGGTGGGGGATCCATCTCTAAAATTATATACATCAAGTCTCTGACCCTGGTAGATCTTTCTGGTAGCAATTATATTGGCCCAGTAATGAGATATCATCTTGAGACAAACCTAATCTACCAGAACTAAGGTAGTGTTGACCAGCACGTGCCCTGCAATTTTCAATTTGGATAGAATATAAGCATATCAATTCAACTGCTGCCAATCTGTTAAAGTTCTTTCGAGAAATGCACAAACTGTTTTTTTGTGGGATATGAAACATACCTTCTCTGTCTTCTCCTATCAATGCTTTCTGATAACCCAGTGATTCCAAATCTTGAGATTTGGCTCAATGAAGACAGATATTCATGAAATGAATCACCTTTCATTGCAATGTGTGAGCGCAATGGAACAACAGACTGAAGTAAGTTGTATGCATTAGGGTCCACTTTGCTGAAACACAGGAACAATACAAGGCAGCTTAGCAATATCACAGTAATTCTCAACTGAACATAATAGCTAAACTAAAATATAGTCCTAAAAGGAAGTCAGACCAGTTACATGTGTTGAGCAATCTTGGACATTTCAGACAAATAATAGAAATGGCCAAATTCAAAGCATGGATAGGGAACAATTAGTAGTGGTTAAAACCAACAATTTTAAAACTGTACAAAAACCCAACCGAAAGTGGAAATCCTTCATTAACCACACTAAAAAATTCCCTCAAAAATGGCCAATCTTCTGTGAAAGAGAAGATTTGAAGTTTAATATAATACAGAACCTATAGAGACTCAATTCCCTCAAAGAACCCCCCTCCGTTCTTCTGAGGTTCATCATCCATGACCTTTCACTCTATGCAGTTCTCTATCAGAGAAAGCAGAACTCCTTGCAAGTTTACAGTTCTCTAATTCTTGCCCTCTTCTAGTGGTTTCTACATGTTTCTTCCTGCACTCTCTTTTTAAACAGCATACAACTTTACGGTAACAGATTGAACATCTGTGGGTATAAACCCCAAGCTGAACATATCTAAGCAGTGACAAGCAATAGATACATCTAAAGTTAGAGAACCCTTTCAATTTTATATGCAATTTACTTGGAAGATACACAACTACTTAGGACAACCAATTTATAAGCAAAAATACAAGGGAAGAGGGGCATATGGTCCTATACCTTCTGAAGGAATGACAAATTTTCGGTAGCCTTAAATGCAAGCCCTCATGTTTTCCCCTACTCTGTCCAACCATCTTTCCCAGTGCCATTGTACTGTTTGTGGATGTCAACATCTCCCAGGTCAAGTCCACCTCATGCACAGATGAGGTGCTCGGTCTGAGAGAAGTAATTTCTTTCGCAAAACAGCAAACTCCATGTTGAGCGAAAATTGAAAACATCTTCAACTGGTCATCATGCCAATTGTACGAATGAGATTCTTTGATAGGGATCATTGAAGCCTCCAGAGAATCCTGGATGAGCACTTACAATCATCAAAAACTGCACTTGCAGTAACATAAAGGTAACATCTGTGTCTAATAAACTACTTACAGGTAGGAGGTGTTTGCAATCAGTAAGTAATAAATCAGCCACTGAAATCAAATCACTCATTTCATGAGCAACATTAAGAATCTGAGAAGATTCTTTCTGCTCTGGGGTGATATACTGTTTCAGGTCTAGGCAACCTTCACGAAGTCTTCTCCATGTTTCCTGAACAGAAGTATTCAGGTTAAGCTGCACAATAGTCTTAGAGGATGTAGAATTTTTATTGAAGTCCATGCGGCTACACTCATCCAACAACCGATATCCACTTGGAACATCCTCCATGCATTGTCCGTTGAAATGCTCTACGACCTCTCCAGGAATTGATTTTGTTATTCCATCAGAACTACCAACCTCACCAGGAATTGATTTTGTTATTCTATCAGAAATACCAACCTCAGCAGGAATTGATTTTGTCAGCCACTGAAATCAAATCACTCATTTCATGAGCAACATTAAGAATCTGAGAAGATTCTTTCTGCTCTGGGGTGATATACTGTTTCAGGTCTAGGCAACCTTCACGAAGTCTTCTCCATGTTTCCTGAACAGAAGTATTCAGGTTAAGCTGCACAATAGTCTTAGAGGATGTAGAATTTTTATTGAAGTCCATGCGGCTACACTCATCCAACAACCGATATCCACTTGGAACATCCTCCATGCATTGTCCGTTGAAATGCTCTACGACCTCTCCAGGAATTGATTTTGTTATTCTATCAGAACTACCAACCTCACCAGGAATTGATTTTGTTATTCTATCAGAACTACAACCCTGCAACTCCTGATACTTGGAAGATAGAAGAACAGTTTCATCAAGTTTCTCAACCTTGAGTGGATACATACTTGGAAGGGACAGATTGCTACAATAATCAGCCTCAACTTTGACATCAATATCATTATATGACTCCGTATTTGAAATTAATTCTGAATCAGTAGTAAGCAGAGTCTCAGGGATGAATGATGACTCTGGCACACATGAAATGTTCACAGACTTACTTACGACATTCACAGTAGAATAATCAGTTGTCTCCAAATAATTTCTTTTCAACCTTTTAGCTTTGAAATGAAAATTCTCTGTCAATAAACTGCAGGAGATTTCAGTAGCAGAAAAATGGGAGGGAGAACTGCATGCTGTTTCAATCTCTTCATTTATGGTATCAGGTTGATCTAAAGACAAGGGAACTCTGCTGCATTCCTCCTCAGAATCTGAAGACATGACTCTATCAAGTTTTCTCAGCGTATTTCTTCGAGTGAATGCAATTGGTGATTCAGAGGCATCAGAAAATTCTGAGGTAGTACCAAATATAGTACACTCATTGTGATCCTGAAATGAGTAGAGCAAGCTCAACATTGCATCCTTTTTTCCATTAACATTGTTTGCACCCATATCGTGATTCCTAGAATTGTTCTTTCCAGTAATATTGTATAGCTCATCTTCCTCAGCTATCTCGTTCATCAAGCAGCTATCTTCTTCTACTCTCATCGACTTAGTTATCTCCTCATCCACAAGTTCTGATAGTGGAGTTGGGAAATCATCGCAAGGGATAATTTTCGGTAGTAGCAGATGACCAGCATCTAGATCAAACTGAAGAGGACAATATCTTAGCTTCAGGTCATCACCTGGTCGTAGCAAGAACACATCATGGAATTAAATGAGTTTAATGAAACTTTAGGATGAAGAAAACATAGGTTGTAGATTTAGTGTAGTCATAATTTCATCAGCACCTATTGAAGAACGAGAACTGTTCAGATATGGAGAGAGATTGTTCCTACATACTTAATTTCTTTTTACCTTCCCTTAATGTGTATACCATTAGATTTTGGCAATTGATTAATGAACATCCCCCTTCAGAGAATTTAAGAGTTAATATTCTCCATGGTCACTCAACCAAGGAGTTTTAAAACAGAAAGCCACTCAACTTTGATTTACTTCAAAAGTCACTCAACTACAAGTGTTTTACTTACAAAGTCACTTAACTTTAAATGTTTTACTTACAAAGTCACTCAACCTATTTAATTATTTTTTCCATTGAAATTTGCTTATATAGGATTTTTATTTGAAATCAAACTCTAAAAAATCAAATAATATCCATTTAAAGTCATTTGGTTGATTATTATTTGTAAACACTTTGAAATTACTAAATAACATATTTTATTATTAGGTAATTTTATTTAAATAAAACCCTTTGGAGTGGCCCAGTGGTTTGGGCTTGGGACTTCCATGTTGGAGGTCTCAAGTTCGAAACCCCTTGCCAGCGAAAGCAAGGGGTTTGCTTTTGGGTCAAGCTCGTCGCACCGGGCTTGCCTAGTGCGGATTATCTCTCTCCTATGTGGTTTGCAAGCTATTGCATAGGAGCGGGGGTTTTACCCTGTGCGCACCCAAAGGGTAGCGGCTGAGGGTTTTCCTTGTCATAAAAAAAATAAAAAATTATTTAAATAAAAGCTAATATTTTCTAGTGATCAAAACTCAAATGTTTTTAAAGGAATTAACTGACAAGTAATTTTTTTAAAAGAGGTTTAAATGATTTATTTTATAAAATAACTAAACTCATGTATTGAAAACATTTTAAAAGAAGTTTGTGTTTTTTTGTCTTAGAATTTGATTTTAAATACAAATTTCATGTAAGGAAATTTCAATGTCTATTTAGTGACTTTGTAAGTAAAACATTTATAGTTGAGTGACTTTTGAAGTAAAAATCAAAGTTGAGTCGACTTTGAAAGTAAAACATATATAGTTGAGTGACTTTCTGTGATAAAACTCCTTAGTTGAGTGACCATTGGGCATATTAACACTAGGATTTAAACTAACCTTATCTCTTCTAGTTAACTTGTCTTCAATCAGTAGAGGTATGTTTCTTTATGGGTTGATACTTAGTTTGATAATCTAGGTTGTTCTTTGGTCTTCAAGGCTCAAGCAAAGATTTGGGTCCGACACTCAAAATTGTGTTTAAGATTCTTTAAAAGGTCCAACTTCGGTTCTCTTCCAAGATTTTATCTCTATCTACCTTTCTTGTTTTTGCCCCCTTGTATCAACATAAATTCCTTTCCACTTGTCATTGCATTCAAGATATGTAAGGTTTCATCAATAATAAAAGGCTTGAAGTTTTGATTGGCCAAAATTTAGTCTTAAGCAAGATCCTAAACAGATAACACAATAATTTCTATGTCGGCATGCTCTATATGCATATTGTGGCTATCAATGATTTCGTTATTAGTAAAAATGAAATAAATGAATGCATTCGTTTTAGAAGATTCACTTTACAAAATAACATGAAAGCTTCAAAAATTTTGCTTAACAAGAACTTTTTCAGTTAGCATTCTCTTTTGCTATGGCAAAAATTATTCATGCAATCAACTATCCTGAAGCATGCATTAACTTGTTGATATGAGGTGAATTACCTTTCTCCAAAGTTTGGCCTTGACACCAGAACTGGAGATACATAATAGTTTTACGAATATCTCCATGGCAATGATCTACAAACCGCTCTACTAGCATTGGGTGAATTTTAACTTGTTCTCCAGCACATACCTAGAAAGTAATTTATTTGATTAGCCAGATTAAGACAAATTTCAGTGAGAAACTAGCAAAACAAGATGTACCATGTGCACAAGTCCAAGGAGCTCCTCCAAAGATGGCCTCATAAAGCACACGTGTAGCCTATCTAAATTATTTGGGAGCACCGGATTGTCACCTATCACATCAAGGAATAATACTTAACTTGTGAAACATAAACTTGACAAATTATTGTATTTCAACCTTTTAACCCCCTTACTGTTGCTAGTTAATATCATGGGCCGCTTTGCAGTCTCTGCAAGCTGTTGAATGGTAGAGACAAAACCACGGTCTTCACAAAGAGCGGTATCCACATCCTCAAAAAGAATTAGAGTCTTAGTTTCACCCTGATAATTAGCAGTTATCTCCTCCCTGAAGACTTGTTTTCTTTGTACTCCAGTGGCATTTGGAGCATTTTCCTCATCAGACAAAGGTATCGCTTCAATAACTCCACCGCCAGACACTAGTTTGTCCTCCAAATACACTGGATCTTTTTGCATCCTGAAACAAGAATCGAACAGACAAAAGGGAAGTATTGTGAGTCAACTCATTTAAGATATACTGTAGTCATAATTTGGTGCTTACATGAAGTGAAATCCCGTCACAGAGAAAAGAAATAACTAAATAGACTATTTTGCACGATTTTCACTCAATTTTTCTGTGAGCAGCAAATTTCTATATGAAAATTGGTAACAAATATAAACATTCATGGAGTAATTCAGCTAACTTTTCTTGGAACAAGCATGAGACACCAAGAAATGGTCAAAGTACAACGTTAAGAGGCCACTAAAAAGCCTAAGGTCTTCCCTCCCTGATCACTGACTAATGAAATGCATTTCCTAAAGGAAGACCAATCTCAGAAGCCAGCATGCATGACTTGGAGGTTTAAGAATTCTAGATGAATGTTAAATTAGTCCTTTAATTTATGTGTAGTACAAATTTAAGAAAGCCAGAACTAAATGTGAAAAATCATATGATAAGGGAACCCAAAAGTAAAACCACGAACCATCACAAGAGAAATGTTTTTTTCTTTAAATGGAAATGCAAATACTTCAACTGTATACCAAACAACAAGGTACAGTAACCCCCAAAAGGAAAAGAAAACAACAACTGCTCTCAGTATTTAGATTTTATATCTTGATAAACTTTTATAATAATAAGTCAAAATAGAAGAACAATCATATAATAAATTTTTATCACAAACAAGTCCAAGAAACAAAAGAAAACCAGCATCCAGACATAGACAAACCGTTGAAGCCAGTGGGATTCTACAGCCTCCCCAAATCTCTGTTTTACAAGAGCTCCGTTTCGCCAATCTGATGCATTAACCTAACAAGACAACAAACCAAAAAATAAGTTATATAGATTCTTGATAATTTGAAGAATTCTTTTTAAGAATTTGGTCTGAACACGTCTGAAATCAAATCTTAAAATGCTCCAAGACTCGTACTGTAACACATGCATCTACATTGTGCAAGTGCAACATAACATCCATGCAAATTTTTAAAGCCTTACCTCAATCACTTGAAATCCCTGTTCTTTGGCACAGGCATAAATTGCAGCCGACTTTCCGCTCTGCATAATAACAGTTAGTACAATAAAAATCACCAATAAGAGATACTTCAACATATACTGAAGCAGGCTTGATTATGCCTAGTCAAGACAGCATTAATAGAACCATGGCAGAAGAAACTGCGAAACATATTTGTGTTTAGTTTCTCAGGATAAGTATCTATTTCCTACTGAAATGACTATCAAACTAAATGCCGAAAATTGATTTAACCTGTTGGGCCATGAAAATTCCAAATCCAACTTGAAGTTGTATTTCAAATTTAGAAAAAACTTGTAACCTGTTTTCCAACTCACTCTTCTCTTTTGAAGTTGTATTTAAATACATTCAAGCATGAACATTATTCCAAAGATTCTTTGCAAAAAGTATAGCCAAACAACACTCTATATTCAATTCCAACTCGGACATTCCAAATGAAGTGAAAAGTATTTGGAATCTATGGCCAAACGCTTACTTAGAAAGTGTAACTGAATGATTTGACCCTAATATTATTGGGAAGTACTCCACCCTCTAATCACCAGGTTTTCTACTTACCTCCACTTAGGGGTGGCAAATGGTTGGATTGGATCGGATTTGGATGGATTGAATATGGATTGAGTCAAAATGGATTGAATTACAATCCACCCATATAAAATATGGATAAATATGGATTTGGTCAAATATGGTTTGGGTAAAATGGTTCTAACCCACTTTAATCTCTTACAACAACAAAAAAATTCAAAGCTAAATTGTTAATAACCCAACCTCTACCATCCCCACCCCACCCTTAAATTATTATTTTTTTAGAAAATATTTTTTCATACAAAAAAAGAACATTAATTATTTTTCTACCCCGTACCTCCATCCTCCACCTCCCCCCCCC